GAATTATGTGTGAATTCTTTCTCGCAGAACTACTGCCTACATACAAACAGGCACAGAAACTAAGAAATTTTTATACTTCATACAAGACTATTTTCAAAAAAACCTGGTCCCGGTCCTATTAAAAGTTTCACGGGACTGGAACAATCCCGCGGGACCGGGACTGTCCCGCAGACCTCTAATTTGTGCATCAAAAGCACTTCTTCAACATTGGCAGCTATATTTACGTCGCTGTAAACAGTCCCATTTGATAGTATCACTGAGCTAAGTAGTAGAATTTGAAATGGTATCACACAATGGTGCATTAAATTTAAATATTTCTAAAAAATACATAACCATTTCAACGAAAGCTTTTTTTCTATTATTTGCTTTCTTTTTCTATACTATTGTAACATAATCTGCCTTAATAATTCAAAGAACATTTCTTCGTCTTTCATACTTCTGTTGACTTTTCTGTTTTCTTTCCTCGTTTCATTAGTAACAGATTGTTTGCATGCATTTTATAAATTTACCCCGAAAACAGTAAGTAATTTTTAAGCTGGCCTTTTAAAGCTGGACAATTTACTCAGATGTGCTTCAGCCCTTAACACAAAAAACTAGATAGGTTTACCAAATGAAACCTCCTTATTTCTCATTGCTCCTTCCCGACGTCCATAGTGGGCAGATATTTACCTCTGAAGTGCATCTAATATTAGTTTTTAGTTCAGTTTGGAACGCTGAACAAGAAGAAAATAATTTGAATGTCCCTACGAAAACCTCAAGTCGAAAAGTTTAACTTTGGTAAACATCATCGTTTTTTTTGAGTTTTCTTTTTCAAAACCACATATTCGTGATCAGCTCATCTAGCTCTGTCCAATGATATATAAATAAGTCAAAAATAAAAGACTGCTTCAACTTTGAATTAGTGGCGCTTTACCCGCTGTTAAATTTAAATATTATAAGAAAACTCCGTTAAAAAATATATCATGTATTTCACCTTTTGTCAAACTTTACTTCAGAAAAGATTCAAGATTTTCCTATAGAAATGAGCACAGTGCACATGCAACCAACACATCAGCCAATGCGCTATTTCCAATCAGGCACACCTGAACAGAGATATCAGGAATCACCCCAGCATAATCAGCTTCAAACACAATGGATATCGGTACCTCGTTCAATTCAACCCGGTGTACCAGCTGGACTAAACTATTTGGCGGAATTAGATTGGTTAGGGTTTAATCAAGATTTTAGTTTATCAGAAAGTATGTATCACAGGCTGTTCAGAATGATTATATCTATAGTAAAACATTTATTTTGATAGCGCTTATTGGTTTATCCTCAGCGCAAAAATTTCAAATTTTCAATAAGTTGGGACAACTTGTTTATTTTGCATGGGAAGGTATCGAAAGACACCTCGATGCTTATCTCTTAAAAACTCTCCTTATATCTATCCTTTGTAGAATCCGAAACCTGTCAGCGATGGTGTTGTGGAGCGCGACGTGCATTTGTACTTCATATATGTGACTCCGGAAATCAGGTTTGTTGTTAAGGGTTTCTATATACTTTATTTGTAAACGGTTTCCTGGAAGAGATAAACGATAAATGAATTCGAAGTAATATGAATAAAAATAGAAATCTTCTGTTTTGAGCTGACATCTGAACATTCTTTAGCGTCTACGCCATCTTTCCCCATGTCATTAACTTTCTCTCAAAATCGGACGTGGCACTAGCAGAAATGTTTGGTTAAGTTAGAGAATTTTGTGTCGGGAGATGAAAAGGTGTTTTCTGTTATCAAATAAATACTCATCGCCTGTTTATTAGACATTAATTTTCTCGAACATATTACATGTCAACAAATTTTTACTTCATCCCACTTTTGATATAGAAACGTCTATCTTTCTCTCTCTTCAAACGAAAATATTTACTCTTGCCGTAATCACTCCCATACTACGCAAGTTATAGTGCTAACAAGAAAACTTTCCACCTTAGGGCGCACTGTAAAAAATAAAGTAGGTCAGTGACCTACTGAGTGACTCATCTAAATGGATCCGCTTTACCCACTGAGAAAGCTGTGGCGTCAGTAGGTCAGTGACCTAGTGGCAGTGTGTCTCTGAGTTAAAGAGATGACCTAGTGAGATGACTGACTCAGGCAAGCAGTACTGTTTGGAACTTCGGCGCAGAAAGACGAAGGCTCAAACCTCACTTTTACCTACTTTTTTTTACTTTTCTTTGTTTGCTTATTTTGAGCTGAAAATAACCGTATGTAGGTCTTTTAACATGCTGATTTCGAATCTGAACTTAATCTTTTGTTTTTATGCGTGCATAGCCACTTTTTAAGCAAAATATATTTAGAAAATCATGGTTTATGCACCATTCGCAAAGTCTTTAGCATTAAAATCTCATCAGAAAGCTTTTGCTGGGAGAAAATGATTTTTAAAGTGGGGATGAGTGGTCTTTGGTTTGGTTGTGAAGTGAGAAGAATGTTTTGAAAGCAGTAACTTAAAGTGCAATGATGCGTAACCGTTGACTATCCTTTCCAATATAGTGGGCCATAATAAACGGGCCAAACTATTTTCCTATTGTTGAGGTACTTTCCTTTAATGTGGAGACGTGGCTCAGAGCTCATTCCATGGAGAATTGAAAGCTGTACAAAACTGCTCATTTCAGTTTTTCAAGTACATTTTTTTCTAATCGCAAAATTTAAAAGATTTTGTGCTCAATCTTCAAACTGCGATCTGACGTTTTTCTGGATATCTGTTCGATTTGTACTCCATTTTTTCAGATGAAATTTGCTAGTAAACATAGAGTATTTCGCATGAATCGAAAGGCAATTTTGTTCTCTATATTTCTACACCCCTTTTAAAATTTTTTCTTTTATGGTTTCGCAGAAATAGGCCAGGACCCAAGAGATGATGGTCTTTCCGTCACGTTTTCGGGAAAATGGATTTTTCAGAACCAGGTTAATGTGCAAAAAGTGTATTTTCACACAGTTAAATGTAGAATTCAATGTTAAACATATTGCTGTGTCTTTCACTTTAAAAAGTGAAAACTGTAATTTTTTATAAACTCGGAGACATAAGTTCAAAACGTTTGTCAGAAAAGTGATTATTTCTGTAATTCCACATTTTTTAGTTCAAAAAGTTTCCTGGTCCATCTGTCTTTCAACAAGCTACGAGCTACATATAAAGACGCAGAATTTCATGGCGAATCTAATGGTATGTTTAAAATTTCAAAAAAACTGTTTCTAAAAATCTAAGATCATTTTATCAATTTCTGCCCGTTGCTATTTGAAATTGAGCATGTGCCGATCTTTTACATTTTTTACTAAGAAAAAACATGTATTTGAGAAACGAAAATGGGCAGTTTTGTAGAACTTTCAATTGTCTATCGAATGAGACTTGAGCCAAGTTTCCACATTAAAGGAAAGTATCTCAAAAGTAGAAAACTTTTTGACTCGTTTATTATGTTCCACCCGTTGGTATGCTAAATAATTTCTCTCGTTTGCGGGGAGAATGTTTTGACAGTAGCAAAATTGTTTCTCAATACCAAGCTACGAAAGCAGAATATGTTTAAAGTGGAAACTCTTTTCTATGCTATTTTTAAATCGTTAAGTGGTTATTTATAATACGCTACTCCGCAATCTACACCTTTTTCCTAGTCAACCCATAAAATTTTCCACATTTTCTTGATTTCTCAATAGTCAGCATTTTATTGTATAGATGAAAATATGAACAAAAGGAACAAAAGCATTCCATTAAAACTAACCTTATGTTTTTGGCACTCATGTTTTTTTAATGCTCGTGTCGATTGATACTTATCAATACAACCGAGAAAATCACACTAGTAATCCTTTTTATCTGGATGTTTATGTTTACAATGAAAGATTAATTCATCGTTAGTTCTCCGATTCTCGGAGCAAATGAACACTGCATTTATATTTTTTTTGAAGTATTGAAAAGAAGCAAAGAAATAAACAAAGCATTAAAACGATGAGAATATCTAGCATTTGCTGCAGACTGACTGTTAATCAATCGTGAATACACTATCCCATCTAAAAGAAGATGTAAAGGATAGAGAGATAGAGCGCATAGATTCATATAGAAGTCTTACTTTTCGAAATTGAAGAATATGTAAAGGCATAAAATGTACAATATTCTATTACTCACACATCACCACCCAAGGGAGGAGTACTGAAGGAAAAATTAGACTTTTCGGATGCTACAACAGAGCGGAGCCTTTTTTTGAATTTAGTTTTAAGCAGCATCTCTTGTCCTGTCCTGAAATTAAATTGAACTAAAGTATCACACAATGAAATTTATAAAAAAAGTTTTAAGTCTTTTCTCACTGAATAAAATATGGATGGCAGCTATTTTCTCCAGAAAATGAATAAACGCAAGTCACTAACGCGCCTTCCACTTATTTTTGCAATGTCATCCATAAGGAAATAAATACGCCTCAAGCTTAATACAGTTTGTCCTACGTTTTAGTTCTTTCTATTTTACCACAATTTGAAAAGAAAAGAACTTGCCTTTTTTGTGACCCACTGACAAAAGAGTATCCACTAAAAATAGTTCAGTAGAATTTGACCCACTAGGAGACCTAGTGAGCCGTGATCCATCTAAATGGATCACAGTGGACAATCAGGCGGACATTTGGGGAAAAATCGAAAGCGAGATTTTTCAAGATTTAAATAGTGTCATATATACACTATTAAACGGCCGATTTAACGGCGAAAAAATTTTGATCCAAATGCT